CTAGAAGCCTGTTGAAGTTGCCCCTTTCCTCAGCTATACCATTTTTGTCTCTCCTTTGTCTCCATTTCCTCTACCATCTTCCTCCCTCAGTACTGGAGGTTGAACCTAGGCTAGGCAAATGCTGTACCACTGACCCACACGCCCAGCCTTTGTGTAGTATATTTTGAGATAGGGTCTTGCTTGATTGCTCAAGCTCTCTTCACACTTGCAGTTCTCCTGCTTCAGCTGCCCAAATAGCTGGGATTACAGGCAGGCATGTGCCACTTTACCTGGACCCTTTTTGTTTTTTAAAGCAAATAAGTGATAGATTCAAACACAAGAGAGAATTGTGTTACTCCACACTAATTACCTTGCTTTCTCTCTTTATAATCTATTGTCACCATAAATCTTTGTGGGTTTTTTGTTGTTGTTGTTTGTTTGTTTGTTTGTTTGTTTTTTTCTCAAAGTTTTATTGACAAAGAGATAGCAATGAGACAGTTTCAAATCAAATCGGAAGGACAGTTTCAACAAATAATACACTGCATATATTCTTCTTAGTGGTTAATTGCTGTACAAGATGCGGACTTGTGATCCTATTCACAAACACCATTAGAACAAATCATTCTATTCATTAAGAGAATGCAACTATATATCTATCCCAACCTCTTTGAATACACAGATACAAAATGGACATTCATCGGTATACCCCATTATTTCTAAGTTACATTATTGAATATTATAGGTGTGTAAACTCAGCAAAATATTCTAAAAGAGTCCAGTAGCCTATAAAAAAATATGGAACGCTTCACGAATTTGCGTGTCATCCTTGCGCAGGGGCCATGCTAATCTATTCTGTATCGTTCCAATTTTAGTATATGTGCTGCCGAAGCGAGCACTGTTTGTTTGTTTTTAAAGACAGTGTCTTGCTATATAGCTAAGGCTGGCCTTAAACTCTTTATGTAGTACAGGCTGGCCTCAAATTCATGGCAGTCTACCTGCCTTAGCCTCCCTTGTGAGTCCTGGGATTATAAGCACGCACCACCAGTCCTAGTTTACCACCAGAATTCTTAATGCCAATCTGATTATCCTGCATTAAAATATTGATTCCAGAGTTTGATCCTCAGTGTACTATGCTCTCTTGCCCCCACCCCTGGGGTGCACTGAGAGAGCGAATGAGACTGTGTGGTGATGTGCGCCTGTAATCCCAGCATTTGGGAGGCTGAAAACAGGAGGATCACTGTGAGTCTGATCTGTGTAGTGAGACCTTGTACTAAATACATAAAAATAAATAAATAAAATATTGATTCCTTGTCACACATACAAGGAAATCCTTAGCACTACATGTACTCTGATTTTTGGTTCTTTAAGAGTGGAAATGTGTATCTCAGACATTCCTCCTTGTTAAAAGGGCAGCTTAAATAAGATGTTTTCCCACCAAGCACACTCAAGAGTGTGTAGAAATCTCTGTTCACTTCTCTTGGAAGTCCCCTCTTCTCTCTACACTTCACTGCATTTTTGGAAAAAGATTCCTAGGTTGAAGTTTAAATTTAATTGCTATCAATCTTAAATTAGTTTATTAATATTATTAACATATGAACATTAAAGATGATTTCATCTGTTTCAGGCCTTTTTCAAATTACTGCTTAAAAATGACTAGTCTCAAATTTCAGAATAGAGTATTAATAATACGTTTTTTGGTCTGAGAATTGTGACAATCATTGATATCAATGTTGTTTAAATGTAATATTCTTTGATTAAAATGTTTTCTTTTGTCCTACTGTAAAAAAAAAAAGTGGAAATGTGCTCCACTTCACTGATGATTCTTAAGTATGCCCTTCTGTGGATGCATTCCGCCCCTTCCCTAAAATGCCTTTTTTTCATTTTTTCTTTCCTCATGGCTTTCTTTACCTCTTTTCTCCCCTCTGACATAACTAACCATTCCTGACTCTTGCTCACATTTTCTGCAGAATTTTGTTAGTGCTTTCCTCCCACATATAATCCAGTAATATGTGGTGTTTGTCTCATTATTCTATAAAGGCATTTAGAGTAGCAATTGTGAGCTGGCGAGATGGCTCAGTGGTCTAAAGCACCTACTTGGAATAAGCTTGGGAAAGCACAGGGACCACGGTTCGATCCCCCAGCACCACATGCCAGCAAGCCCCAACCCCTGGTGGGCTGAGCTGGCCACACACAATAAATAAATAAATAAATGTTTAAAAAAAATAGAGTAGCAACTATGATAGTGATGTTGATGACGATATATTTTTTTCAAGAAATTGTCCAAAACAATCATGTTGTTTATTGATTTCCTGTTCTACATGTAACACACTTGGTAAGAGTTTAACACGTGTAATGCTGCATCTAATCCTCACAATGCTGTGTTAGGGCTATTGCCATCATCATCGTGCCCATTTTACAGAGGAAACCGAGATTTGAATAACATTTCCAGGGTCTTGCTGTTAAGAAGAGGTTGGGTGGGATCCAGAAGGCCTTCTCTCAAAATGCACTAATAAAGCCCACTGTGTTACCTCTCAGATTGGTTGCATTCTAACAATAAGCCTTAGTCGTGAAGTGAATTTATAATTGTTGGAATTAAGACATCACTAAATGAATTGAGAGAAGCTTTATTCTTTCTTAAATGAAAGTCATCGTCCTATCCCTGAAATAAAAATACATTGCACAGTTGAGTATATTTTCTGAACTTTTGTTTCCATGATTTGGATAAGAAGAAATAAAGATGCATAAATTTTAAACAACTTTATTGATGTACAACTTGTAACAAATTACACATGTTTCAAATATATAGTTTGCTAAGCTTTAATATACATAGATAACCTAAATCATCACCATGATCAAAACAAAAGTGTCATTCCCCAAACTTTCTCATCCATGCCATGCTGTTTTGGGTGGCTGGTAATACACTTTCATTGTAGTTTGCTTTATGTATTGTGGAGTTTCATATAAACAGAATTACACAGTGCATGTTCTTTTGGTCCCGTTTCTTACATTCAGCCTGATTATTTTAAGTGTATATAGTTATGTGTATCAAGCATTCAACTTGAGAGTATATGTTGTGAATTGTATGTGTTATAAAAAGTAATTATCTTCTATTTGCTTCATTGTGTTACATTTTAGAAAATGTTTATTTTATTTTATTTTTTTAAATTTTTTGAGGTATCATGGATTGAATTTAGGACCGTCATTAAAAATTCTGTTGTGACTGGGCGTGGTGGCATGTGCCTCTTTAATACCAGCTGTTGGAAGGCTGTAAACAGGAGGATCACTACAAGTGTAGTGAGACCCTATAGACCCTGTACTAAATACAAATAAAATAAAATAAAATAAATTCTGTTGAGGGGCTGTTGGATAGCTCAGCGGACTAAAGCACCTGCTTAGGCAATCTCAGGCAAGCACAGGGACCATGGTTTGATCCCTGGCACCATGTGCCGCACCAGCCCTACTCCCCAGGGTGGGCAGAGGTGGCTCACACCTGTAATCCCATCACTGGGGAGGCTGAAAGCAGGAGAATAACCACAAATCTGAGCTGCATAGAGGGACCCTGCAACAACCAGCTACATTAAAAAAAAAAATCTATTGAGTCTATTTCCTTTACTTTCCAAACTTACATATGCTTCTGTGAAGATTTAAATGCATTTTCATTTTCAGTGAGTGGTCTTTTCATCCACTAAGAGTCTTTTGTAATTCAAGCAGTTAAGTACATTTTACTCACTTTTGGACTATATTGTATTTCTGAATATTACCTTATTCACCCTTGTGGGGGAATCTTGGGGAAAACCCTTCTGCTTGGTCTTATGTGTAAAGTGTGTATTTCTAAAGTAGTTATCTCAGAACATCTTCTTCTTCTTCTTTTTTTTTTTTTTTTGTGTGTGTGTGTATTTTAGAGAAGGGACTACAGGGTGTTCAGGGTCTCACTACTAGATCAGACTCATGGTGATCCACCTGTTCACAGCCTCCGAAGAGTTGGGATTATAGGCGTGTCCCACCACACCCAGTCTCAATTGCCAGCTCAGTGCACCCTGGGGTGGGGCTGGTATGGCAGGCCCAGGGATTGAACTTCCAGCCCCTGAGAACTTCTTACATATATTAACTGAAGGTATTAAGCTGTAAAGCACTAATAACTCAGTGTGCTTTGAATGACTTATGTTGACACTGCATAGGAGCTTAACTTGAGGAGGTCTCTTATCCAGTCTTGATTATATTTAAATCTTGTTAGTGTCAGGAAAAAAATCATGTGTTTAGTTTGCTGTTTAAAAAGTTCCCAGTGAACCCCAATATTTTGTAAAAGGTTATACACTAATAAGATATATGAGAGGGGCTGGAGAGATGGCTCAGTAGAATAAGCACTTCCCTGGCAAGTGCAAGGACCTGACTTCAATCCTTGGTTCTGCAAAAAAATAAAATTAAATAAAATTTAAAAATGTATGCGAAAAAACAAAACAAGCCTTATGGCATTGAAAAAATAATGGGGAGAATTTGAATACACGCTAGCATATATATGAAACAGACTTTTAATACCTTGGGTGTCATGCAATCATTGTGTGTAGGGGTTGCTTTTATTTTTGGATGGCCTTTTTGAGGATATTGTGCTGTAGCAACTAGAGATAACGTATTTTACAACTTACATTAAACTTCAGGAAAAAATATTCATATATATATTATATATATATATGGATAAAGTAAATCTGGCAGAATTATTGAAGCTAGGTAATGAGTATATAGATTATCACTGATCTATTCTTTTAAAAAAATTTGAACATTTTTGTAAAATGTTGGAAAACTAGAGGGACACCAAAGTACTGATTTGCGAATCATAGCAAACATTCTGTACTAATATAAAATGAAACAATAGGAAGAATATATAGGAAATCTCTGTGCTGTCATCACAATTTTTCTATAAGTCTAAAATCATTCCAAACTTCAGGTGTTTTTTTTTTTAAGTATCGAATTCAATTATATTGGTATTCTAATCTCATTGCCCCCTTCCCTTTTTAAATTTGCAGGTGGATATAACCCCTATATAGAGATAGTTGAACAACCCAGGCAGAGGGGAATGCGCTTTAGATACAAGTGTGAAGGGCGATCAGCAGGCAGCATTCCAGGCGAGCACAGCACAGAGGACAACCGAACATACCCGTCTATCCAGGTAACAGCGCTCGCCTGTATCTAGAGAGCCTATTAAGCTCAGTTTGTAGTCTTTTTCTTTTATTCTTTTTAAAAATTCATCTGTACTGGGTAGATGTGCAGTATCACAATTTCTTAATCTTCCTGGCTGGAGTTATGTGTGTGTATTCATGTAAGTACAGGATTCTCATTATTTAGTATAATCAGTAGTTTTATATCATTATTCCTTCCATGGAACACAAGACATGTAATGAGGAAGAGACATTCTTACATACAGAGTTAACAAAGTATTGTCTAAATTAAAACATAGATTTGAAAACTTAATCAGAATTGTTCTTCTTATAATCTCTTAGTCTCAGCCCTATGGAAAAGATTTTTTTCCTTACCTTTAATGCCTGTCACTGATCCTCTGGGTCACTGACATCATTTAAAGCTATTAAACTGGGGCCAGGGAGATGGCTCAGTATGAATAAGTGCTTCCCTGGCAATCACAAGGGCCTGAGTTTAATCCCCGGTT